TCTGGTGTGGGCGAAGCCCTCAAGGGGGGGTCCATGGGGGGGGTAGCGCGAGCGAATGACGGCCCCAAGAGGGGGACCACGAACCGAAAAGTCAAGCCTTTCGCCCCAAAATCACCCCAAGAAGCTCCCAGGAGGCCCCCAGAGCCCCCCAAGAAGCCCCAAGAGGCCCCTGGGAGGTTCCCAAGAGGCCTCCAAAACGGCTCCAAAATCGCCCAATAGGACTCCCAAGAAGGCCCAAAGACGCCAAATACGGAGCGATCGGTAACGCAAAAAGCTCTTCACACCAAGGCTTCCAAGAGGGAACGGTGACGTAAACAAGCTGATCAGACCAAGGCTCCCAGCAGAGAACGGTGGCGTAATTAACAAGTTCCTGACACCAAGGCCCAGCCAAGGCTCAGGAACGGGCGGCAACGCAATAGTGTCTGAATACCAAGGCCCCCAAGAGCGAGGGGTGACGTAACAAGCTCTCAACGCCAAGGCTCCCGATACGAACGGTGGTGTGAGTAATTTCGGTTTCTGTTTCGGTAGCATTATTTCCGTTTCTGCCGTTTCTGTGCCGGGCCAGGTAACGGAAAGAGCGAGGTATGAGCGATGACGTTCTGGTGTGGGCGAAGCCCCTGAAGGGGGGTTCCAGGGGGGTGCGTATCGCGCACGAATGAATGTTCATGGCCGTTTTGGAGGGTTTCCCGAGGGTTTTGGCATGTTTGTCGGATTCTCCCTCAAGACGGCCCAAGAGCGCTCCAAGAGAGCCCAAGACCGCCCAAGACGGCCCAAGAGGCCCCCAAGAGGCCCCCAAGAGGCGCCCAAGGGGCGTCCCTAGAGGGCCCCAAGAGGCCAAACTCATACATTTTCCACAAGTGAAACGTAGATGTTTAGCATCTACGGCGTTTCGCCTTTCACGGCGTTGACGACGGCCCAAGATGCCCCCAAGAGGCCCCCAAGACCGCCCCAAGACGGCCCAAGAGGCTCCCAAGAGGCCCCCCAAACGGCCCAAGAGGGCCCCCAGACGGCCCAAGAGGCGCCCAAGACAGCCCAAGAGGGCCCCAAGACGGCCCCAAGAAGGGGACCACGAACCGAAAAGTCTAGCCTATCGTCCCAAGACGCTCCCGGGAGGTTTCCACAGCCCCCCAAGAAGCCCCAAGAGGCCCCCAAGAGGCGTCCCAAGAGGCCACCAAGAGGCTAAAATCATGGAATTCCGATGGGAAACGTACATTTTTAGCATACACGGCTTTTCGGCTTTCACAGCGTTGACGACGGCCCAGGAGGCCCCCAAGACCGCCCCAAGACGGCCCAAGAGGCTCCCTCCGAAGAGGCCCCCAAAACGGCCCAAGAGGGCCCCCAGACGGCCCAAGAGGCGCCCAAGACGGCCCAAGAGGGCCCCAAGAGGGGGACCACGAACCCGAAAGTCTAGCCTTTCGCCCGAAGACGCTTCCGGGAGGCCCCCAGAGCCCCCAAGAAGCCCCAAGAGGCCCCCAAGAGGCGCCCCAAGAGGGGAGGACCCGAAAGGGGCCCCAATAGGACTCCCACGAAGGCTCAGAGACGCCAAGAGTGATCGGTAACGCAAAAAGCTCTTCACACCAAGGCTCCCAAGAGCGAAGGGTGACGTAAACAAGCTGATAAGACCAAGGCTCCCTGCAGGGAGCGGTGACGTAACAAGTTCCTGACACCAAGGCCCAGCCAAGTTCAGGAACGGGCGGCAACGCAACAATATCTGAACACCAAGGCTCCCAAAAGCGAGGGGTGACGTAACAAGCTCTCAACGCCAAGGCTCCCGGTACGAACGGTGGTGTGAGTAATTTCGGTTTCTGTTGCTGCAACGCTCTTTCCGTTTCTGTGCCGGGCCCAGGTGACGGAAAGAGCGAGGTACGAGTGATGACGTTCTGGTGTGGGCGAAGCCCTAAAGGGAGGGGTTCCAGGGGAGGGGCGAAGCGTGTGGAAATGGGCGTTAATTGCCGTTTTTGGGTTTTCCCAGTTGTTTTTGCATGTTTTTCGGGTTCCCCCCCAAGACGGCCCAAGAGCGCTCCAAGAGAGCCCAAGACCGCCCAAGACGGCCCAAGAGGCCCCCAAGAGGCCCCCAAGAGGCGCCCAAGGGGCGTCCCTAGAGGGACCCAAGACGCCGAAATCATAGATTTTCCGAAGGAAAACGTATATTTGTACCATATGCGCTTTGTCGGCTTTCACGGCGTTGACGACTGCCCAAGAAGCCCCCAAGACCGCCCCAAGACGGCCCAAGAGGCTCCCAAGAGGCCCCCAAAACGGCCCACTAGGGTGCCAAGACGGCCTAAGAGGCGCCAAAGACGGCCCAAGAGGGCCCCAAGACGGCCCCAGAAGGGGGACCACGAACCCGACAGTCTAGCCTTTCGCCCTAAGACGCCCCCAGGATGCCCCCACAGACCCCCAGAGAAGCCCCAAGAGGCTCCCAAGAGGCCTCCAAAAGGGCCCGACAAGGGCCGCAATAGGACTCCCAAGACGGCTCAGAGAAGCCAAATAAAGAGCGATCGGTAACGCAACATGCTCTTCACACCAAGGCTCCCAAGAGCGAACGGTGACGTAAACAAGCTGATAAGACCAAGGCTCCCTGCAGGGAGCGGTGACGTAACAAGTTCCTGACACCAAGGCCCAGCCAAGGTTCAGGAACGGGCGGCAACGCAACAATATCTGAACACCAAGGCTCCCAAGAGCGAGGGGTGACGTAACAAGCTCTCAACGCCAAGGCTCACGGTACGAACGGTGGTGTGAGTAATTTCGGTTTCTGTTGCTGCAGCGCTCTTTCCGTTTCTGTGCCGGGCCCAGGTAACGGAAAGAGCGAGGTACGAGTGATGACGTTCTGTTGTGGGCGAAGCCCTAAAGGGAGGGGTTCCAGGGGAGGGGCGAAGCGTGTGGAAATGGGCGTTAATGGCAGTTTTTGGGTTTTCCCAAGGGTTTTTACATGTTTTTCAGGTTCTCCCCCAAGACGGCCCAAGAGCGCTCCAAGAGAGCCCAAGACCGCCCAAGACCGCCCAAGAGGCCCCCAAGAGGCCCCCAAGAGGGCGCCAAAACGGCCCACGAGGGCGCCAAGACGGCCCAAGAGGCGCCCAAGACGGCCCAAGAGGGCCCCAAGACGGCCCTAAGAGGGGGACCACGAACCGAAAAGTCTAGCCTTTCGCCCCAAGAAGCTCCCAGGAGGCCCCCAGAGCCCCCCAAGAAGCCCCAAGAGGCCCCCAAGAGGTTCCCAAGAGGCCTCCAAAAGGGCCCGACAAGGGCCGCAATGGGACTCCCAAAAAGGCCCAGAGACGCCAAATAGAGAGCGATCGGTAACGCAAAAAGCTCTTCACACCAAGGCTCCCAAGAGCGAACGGTGACGTAAACAAGCTGATCAGACCAAGGCTCCCTTCAAGGAGCGGTGACGTAACAAGTTCCTGACACCAAGGTCCAGCCAAGGCTCAGGAACGGGCGGCAACGCAACAATCTCTGAACACCAAGGCTCCCAAGAGCGAGGGGTGACGTAACAAGCTCTCAACGCCAAGGCTCCCAGTACGAACGGTGGTGTGAGTAATTTCAGTTTCTGTTTCTGAAGCGCTCTTTCCGTTTCTGTGCCGGGCCAGGTCTACGATGCAAAATCGGCTCAGTCGGGCTTTGCAGGATCCTGCAAGATCCTTAAAAAGAAACCAGGACGAGCATAACATCAGGTGAGGATAACATCGGGAATCTCTGAGATCCAACAACTCTGATGTATCTCTCGAGCGCCGCGGCCTTCTCATAGCGCTCCGGAACGCTCTGGAACGGATTTGTCCTCGTCCTGGTCCCGTACGTCCGAACCCTGCAGGCTTCTGCAGGATCCTGCGCGCATGCCCTGGTCAGTGCACCCCTGGCCCTGCAGGATCCTTCAAGATCCAGCGCTCTGGCTGACCCCCGTTGGCATGGACCCCCGTCTCAAGGTTCCCGATGCCTGCGGGCAAGGGGGTTCTCCGGGTACGGCCGAGGTGACCCAGAGCACGCCAAGAGCGTACAGCAGGCACCTGCGACAAGGAATCCTGCGATGAGACCTCCCGGGCGCAGTCCTCGTCGGTCTGATCAGGAGGGCCCCGATGTGCCCCAGGGCTTCGGTGGGTCCCGGGGGCCATCGGGGTAAGAGAACTCTTCGTGGGGCGCCTGCTGGCAGGCCAATTGCTCGTTGGATGTGCCTTCTGTCGCCAGGGCCAGCAGTCACGAGGACGTGAGACAGGGAGGCACGACCCCTGGGCGTCCAAATTGCAGTCATCGGCAAACGAACTTGGCTAGTGATGCTTGAAAAAACACCTCCTTGCAGTGGGCACATGCGATACCTAAACTTATCATGTTTGATTGATCAGGCAGCTTAGAGGGCCGTTCCACGACAGTTGAAGTCGCCTGCCAGTGACAAGAACTCCTGCTTTACACTCAGCTCTGCTCGCTAACGCCTCGCTACAACGCCTCGCCGCTGACACGCCCCAAGAGATCCTGCCATAAGAGAGCTAGGGGGCACATCCTTCTGCGACACTGACCTTCGTAAGGTGCGCCAGGGTTCTGCGGGCCCGTTGGGAGAACAACAAATTACTGTGGGTCACCCGTTGGTAGGCCAGCTTCTTGTTTGACGCGCCTACCGTTGTGAAGGTCCCGACTGTAGACCTGGAGAGCTAGAAGGGTGAAGGGCGGCCGAGTACTGGAGCGGAGACCTGAAGAATAAGCGAAGGAGGAAGACCATGAGCGGAATGAGCAATGACTCATAATCGAGTGCGGAGGAAGAGAACAACGACAGAGCCCCACATGCAACCCCTGGGCCGACGCCCGAACATGCGTGGTTAGTGTTGGTATGGTGCTTCAGAGCACAGATGCCTGAACGATGTGGGAGGGAATCACGGTGATTGCAGCGCAGACCAAGCAAATGGTGCCAACGGCGCTGCAAACGTAACTTTTCACCGGCGCCATCATCCCAAGAGACCGGCACCGCCGGCCAGAGAGATGAGACCGCCGCACCGCGGCGAGGCCAGGGGCGCTTGCGCCTGGAGGCGTCCAGAAGGAACTCGTTCTCTGCCCGCCCTGCTGGATTCCTCACGAACTTCACGGCGACGGCGCCTGCGCTCGCGAGCGGCACTGCGAGTGCTTTTGCCTGCTGAGAGACCCGCGCGCGATGCGTCGGAGGGGGCCTGCCGGCCGTGACGACTACTGCAAAAGACGAGCCAGTATCTCCACGGACCTGAGCGAACAAACCGACCAGCCGCATGTCCATCCGCATCTGGAAGTTTGGAATTGCTCGCCGACATCGACACAACGGGCTCCCTTCACCAGGGGAAAATGATCCTAGATTTTGGCGTTGGTGGTAATATTTCGGCAGCCTAGAATCCCGAATCTGAACCACCATCGCCGAGATCGGGATCATCTTGCCTCGGCGGGGGCACGCCAGCGATATTGGTGTTGGTGTCAACCACTAGACCTCCGATACGTTCCCACGTGTGACCCTACACTCCCCTCCCTACCGCTTTCTTCGGGCCGGCACGCAATGCTGCACAATTGGGTCTATTCGCTGCTTGCTTAGCGCTATCCCTAAACTCCGAGAGGTGCCCAACTGCTGCACCAGACCGTCCCCTGGACTCCCTGGGTGGCCCAACGCGTCAACGCCACGATGAGCCGAACATTGCCTCGAAAGGGAAGCCCAACAACCCCCCCAAACGAAACCCCAACAGGCGCCCAATAAGCCCCAATACGCCTCCAAGAGGCGGAGTGGACCATCAATTTTGTTTTCACCATGGCTGAGATTTCAAGAATGGCGTTGACCCTCCCTCTCGGGTTCCGAAAGAGGCGCGGTGACCAAACGTGCGGTGACCCCGAAATTCACGAAGACCACACCGCACGGTCCATCACCGCGCCGTCTTGAGACTCTGGAGGCCCCAACCGCCCGAGACATCCTCGGATAACGACCCGGATCCCGAAACCGCGTGGGCACCCTCCGTCCCCGCTGACTTACTGCACATCGAGGGCGTCCACGAGGGGGCGTCCAAGATGGGGGCATCCCAAAACATGGCACGAGGCACGTGCGCGGCCCAGGGGGTCCAGGGGACGCCTTGAAATCCGACGACGCCTTGTGGGTCTCTAGGCGCGTGAAACTCCTCGCCCCTATACCCCCCAGGGCTCCCAAACTTGAAGCTTGACCCCCCCGCGGCCCAAGACAAACGCATCATGGGGGGCTAGAGGGCCCCGGATCGCCGGAAGATCGCTCAAAAATACCTGCGATGGCCCCAAGACGGCTCCAGAATCCCCCAAACTGCGACAAGAAACTCCCCAAAAGGGCCCCAACATGAAAACATCGTCCCAAAGCCTTCGAAGCAAAAAGAGCATGTGGTGTGGCTTCTTTGTTTCCTCGGCACGTGCCGAAACGCTGATGTGCCTGCCAGCGGCGCGCTGCGAACTGGAGGACTTTGTGCCCTCCGCACACTATGCGCGCCTGCTTCGTCTTTCGATGTTAATTCATTAAGTGATCCTTTAAATGTCTCGCGTCCGAGAAAAATCACCCGCGCGCCGCGCGCGTCCGCGGTGTCGTGTCCATGTTTGAGTTGCGTTTGCGATTGTTTGACTCGCGTGTCAACTTATCACGTTCCCCCGCACATTTCCGACAAAACCTCTCTTCTGTTGTTTTGCGCTGCTGCTGCCCCTGCCAGGGAGGTGCCAGTCCTACGCGCTATGACCCGTGGCACGTGCAACAACACCTCGTCATCGCTATGCCCCTCATATTCAGCTCCCATTGCATCATCCTCATGGAAACCATGCATGAATTGCTGCTGCGTGCCCCCGCAGGAGCTGTTTTGCGACCGACCCTGGCGGTTCCTCGAAGCACCTGGCATGCCCTTCGCCAGCGGTAGCCGCCCCCGAAAGCTTGCGCACCCATTGTGGTGCAACGTATGCGTTCTCCACCGCGCACGGCCGCCTGCGCCCCCCGTAAGGCGGGCGATGTTTTCCTTTGCCCACTGCGCGGCCCTCTGCTTCCCGACTCGGCGCCGAGCGTCTTCATTGGCAGACATTGCAGAGGCGACGAACAAGTGATGCTCTCGAAATCGCGCGTCGCCCGGCGACGTCACAACGACGCAGCTGATTTTATCTCACTCCCGTTTGCACACCTCGCGTTCCAGCCCGCTATTTTTGGACATCGCCTTCTGCGTTTGCCCGACAACGCGCGCCTGTGCTGAGGTGCGCCGTTCGCCCGTCACCCTGGGAAACCCAGTGACCTCCCACGCAGGAACTTGTGCGCGCGTTCAGCCAGCGCCCCTCATCGACATTCATATTGCACGCCAATGAACCACGCGTCCTCGCTTGCCCTCTGTCAACTCCGTCATCCCTGCATCCGCCCCCCCGGCCCCCGACAGATGTGTTGCCCGTGGTCCGTCCTCCGTGGTCCAGCTGCGTACTGCCTGGCATTCTAGGGTACGGCGTGAGCAACGAATTGTCGGTTGGTCCACATGGCGGCTCCAACTGATTGAATTTTGCGCGAAACAACACGTCGACGCCCCTGAATGGCCTGTCAACGCCGTTATTTACGACCTTCGTCGCAGTCGTTGCTGACACGAATGGCCACACGTGCGAATCTACGGCGCCCGGACAAAAAGTGTCCACGCCGACGGCGCGAAAACAATCACGCGTGATGGCAACGACAATTGCAAACTACACGTGGCTCCCCCCCTCGCCCCAAAACCAGACGTTGGAATGTCCATATGTTGTCCCCCGCGCATTGCCTCGCACCCAACCCCGTCAACTTTGGGCTGGGGGGGGACGTGGAGTATGGATATTTGTTCGACGCAGTTCGGTGTCGGATCATCTTGGCGCAATGGGCGTGGACAAATGCTGTCCGCCCACCGGATGTCAAAGATCTGTTCATATAGTTCTGATGTGCGAGCACCATCTTAAACTGAGTGCGTTTGACGCGAGGCCCCGAGCACGACTAGGAGGAGAAGGAGTGGGGAGGAGGGGCGAAGAGTGCAGTAGTTGAAAGACCGCCCGAAGACGGCCCAAGATGCCCCCCAGAGGGCCCCCAAGATGGCGCCAAGATGGCCAAAGAGGCGCTCAAGGCGGCCCAAAAGGGCCCCAAGACGGCTCCAAAAAGGACCCAAAACGGGACCACGAACCGAACATTGCTACGCTTTTTGAAAAATCCGCGCGCCGTTGGACAGACGGCGCGCCCTGGCAACCCCGCGGTTTCCCTTTGCGTGGAGAAGTACGTGGAGCTGGTTAAAAGTGTAGATCTGGATAGGACTGGTCACAAAACTGGTCATAAACTGGTCCGTTGAAAAGAGGGCTAAACATAAGACTGGTCGTGTCCAATAAAGGAGTTTCGAATCTCTGAGAGAGCGTGACCCACCGCCGCCTTACTGTGGAACAATGCCCGCCTTTTCCTCTGGAGCCCGGGGGTCGCCCCCCCCCCCCCTCCGAAAATCCCCCCCCCTGCTGGAACCCTCCCCTCCCCCCCTCCCCCCCGTCCCCCGGCAAACCCCCCCCCCCCTAACCCTCCCCCCCCCCCTCCCCTCGAAAACCGAAAAGGGTCACTACCGGTTCGAACCCCCCCCCTCCGAAAACCGGGGGGGATCACTACCGGTTCGAATCCCTCCCACCTCCCCCCACTCACCGCCAGCAAACGACTCCCGGTCCCTACCACCGTCCGCATCACATCCCCCACTGTTGTTCCCAGCACCACTGTCCTCACCACCACTGTCCCCACTGGTTCCACCACCGTCCCTACTGTCCCCACCAGTGCCCCCACCACTGTCGCACTGTCCCCACTGTCCCCACCACTGTTCCCACCACGGTTCCACTCTCCCCACTGTCTCCACGGCCCCAACCACTGCCCGACTATCCCCACTGTCCCCACTGTCCCACTGACTCCTCCGCTGTCCCACTGAGCTGTCCCACTGTTCCCACCACTGTCCCCACTGTCCCCACCACTGTCCCCACTGTACCTCTGTCCCATTGTCCCACCGCCGTCCTCGCCACCGCCTTCACCACTGTCCCCACCACCATTGTACCCTCCACTGTCCCACTGTTTCCACCTCATTCCCACTGTCCCCACACCACTGTCCCCACCACCACCGTCCCCACCACTGTCCACTGTCCCCACTGTTCCCACCATTGTCCCCACCACTGTCCCCACCACTACCGTCCCCACCACTGTCCCACTGTCCCACTGTCCCCACCACTGTCCCGCTGTCCCCTCACCACTGTCCCCACCAACACCGTCCCCACCACTGTCCGCACCCCCACTCGGTTTTCGAGGGGGGGGGGGGGGGGGTTCGAACCGGTAGTGACCCCCCCCCGGTTTTCGAGGGGGGGGGGGGGGGGGTTCGAACCGGTAGTGACCCCCCCCCCTTTTCATGATGAACTGGGGGGGGGGAGGGGTTCGAACCGGTAGTGACCCCCCCCGGTTTTCCGGAGGGGGGGGGGGAGGGGTTCGAACCGGTAGTGACCCCCCCCGGTTTTCCGCCAGCAGCGGTAAAACACGCTCTTTCAAATCTCTGAATCATTTCCCTCGAGGATCTCGACCAGTTCTATGTCGGACTCTATTTCAAAAAGGGCCAGTTCTATACTATGATCAGTTCTATGACCAGTTCTATCCAGTTGTACCAGTTCCGAGCAAGCAGAAGCCTGCGGCGGGGGGGGGGGGGGGGGGCAGCGCCCTGTTACCTCACACCCATGTTACCAGCACGCCCACATGTCCATCCACATCAATACAACAACGGAGCTCTTCTTACCCAGACGTAGCTCACCCAAGAACTTCGCACGCACCATGCTGATGTCGTCGATGGTCAAACACCTTCACTGCGACATTCGCTGGGCGGCCTTTCTTTTTCCGACACCTCTCCCCCAAGCCCCGCACTGGAGAGGGGGAAGCCGTCATCCCCAAGATGGACCAAAGATCCCCCCACCCCTCCCAGGGCGCGGCACACTGGCGGGATGGGCCCACCAGCTGTTGCTCACAAGAAGGCTTGTCTCCGACTCCGTCAGGGGGTCGCCGGATGTGGCGTGAGCGTCGAGAGTAGGAATAAGCACCGTGACGTGTGGGGAGATACCATGCCCCCGGCCATGATGCCCCCCCCTACTCATCGCCTCCCTCGTGGCCACCCCGGAACACGGAGTGGTAACCGCGCCGTCTGGTGCCCTCCGACCTCACCAAACATGCGACGTCCTGGTTTTTCCACTGCGCGGTTCCCGGAAGAAGTCCCGGCCCTTTCGCCAGTCGGGGGGACGTAAGACCCGGGTACAGGGGACTCGGAAATCCCCGACGAAGTCGTCAAAAAAATGACGAGGCCGAGCCTGCATTTTGACGAGGCCTCCCGCTGCAGACATCCCACGAAACTCCTACTCGTCAAAATCCGAGTCGCGGTCGTCAAAAAACGATGGCGAACCCGAGTCCTGGCAAACCCGGGTCTTACGCTCCCCCGAGCCAGGGCCGGCTTCTCATCCGGCATATTTTTTGTTGACGGTCCCGTTGGCCCGGCGAGGGCGCCCGGAGGCCAAAACGTGGCCGACGAAGAGACCCGTCGTGTTTTTGTTCGTGGGTACGACGCGGCCACGGCTGGGCGCGGCACCTCGGGGCACAAACGCGGGCACTTGGCCCGCGCCCTCGCGAAGCCACGAGGAGGACAGCGGTGTGGGTGGCTCCTCCTCCTACGAGCCTCGCGGAGGCGCCGAGGCCCTCTGCTCGGCGGGGTGTGGCGCGGAGGGTCGCCTCCTGGGAGGGCTGCGCGAGGTACGGCCAGGGAATGAGACGAAACCAAAAATTGGGCGCCCGAGTAATTCGGGGTAACTCGGGTCCGGGGTAACTCGGGTTTGGATTTCGGGGAAACGAACCCGAGTTTGCCCTGAGCCGAGTTACCCCTGATGATTCGGGGCTCTGAAGGAACTGAAGGGACTGAACGGAAGCCAGCGCAAGGCTCCGCGAGGGAGCTGCCAGGAGGGCCAAGGCCCGCTCACATGTTGATGCAACCGCCCCTCATATGGCTCCACGCCTCTGTCTTCGCAAATTGTGTCAAATCGTCGCAGGACGAGGTCAGGACGAAGATAAACTCGGGTGAGGAGACATCGTGAATCTCTGAGATCCCGCGGCTCTGGAGCCCAGACATGCGACGTCCTGATTGTTTTAGGACGGCGTCCCTGGAAGTTCCGACCCTTTCCCCGGGACCGGTTTTTCGTCCCGAGTCCTCTTCTGACGGTGTCGAGGCCCGGCGAGGGCCCCCGGGGCCGAAAGTAGCCAAAAACCTCCCTTTTGTTACGACGCGATCCTGTCTCGGAGGACGTCCCAGGCGCCGCGGCGCCCTCAGAGCGTCCTGTCGCCTCCAGGACGGGCTGCTCGCGAGTTGCGGCGGTGGGCGCGCGGGCGGGACGGTCCAAGGCCAGCGGCGAGCAACAGGCCCTGCAGCGCGACCAGGGAGAAGAAGCCGGACGTCAGCCAACAGGCCATCGGCCTGCGATGGGTGGCGACACCCCCAGACTCCCTCGCTCCTCGCTCATCATTTTCCTCCTCCTCCTCCTCCTCCTCCTCCTCCTCCCTCCTCCCTCTTCCTCCTCCTCCCTCCTCCCTCCTCCTCCTCCTCCTCCTCCTCCTCCTCCTCCTCCTCCTCCTCCTCGTCCTCCTCGTCCTCCTCGTCCTCCTCGTCCTCCTCGTCCTCCTTGTCCTCCTCGTCCTCCCCCTCCTCCTCTCCTCCTCGTCCCCCTCCTCTTCCTCCTCCTTCCTCCTCCTCGTCCTCCTCCTCCCGTCCTCCTCCTCGTCCTCCTCGTCCTCCTTCTCGTCCTCCTCCTCCTCCTCCTCCTCGTTCTCCTCGTTCTCCTCCTCCTCCTCCTCCTCCTCCTCCTCCTCCTCCTCCTCCTCCTCCTGGTGAAAAAATCAAGACGGAAAGTTTCTCGCTATCTTCGTCCTCCAGGGGCCCTCACCGTGCCCCGGGGCCGTCGCGACCTGGGCTCGGGATAAGGACCTCTGGGGGTCGACGCTGGGCAAAAATCGCGTCGTCGGGGGTCTGGCTCCGAGCCCGACCCCCACTACCCGTCGAGTCCCCTGAATCCGTGGGAGGAGGAGGAGGAGGAGGAGGAGGAGGAGCAGGAGGAGGACGAGGAGGAAGGGAGATCATGTCATCAAGAAGGATGCAACCCCGAACCCTAATCACTGAATCCGTGGGAGGCAAAGGCAGAAATCGGACTTCGCCACGTGTGCGGCGGACTCCCAACCGTCAGTACCCCCGCCGCCCACCGAGCAACCTGGATCGTTGATAGGCGAAGGTGGGGTTCGGATTTCGCCGCCGACGCGAGCGCCAGCGCGGCGCCCGACGCGACTCGAGGGTGGCGGAAGAAGGGAGGGGGGCGAGACAGGAACGATGGCTCAGGAGCGAAGCGTCGATTTGGAATCGGCGGTGCATCGCCAGCACATCAGCGACATGCCGATGCTAGCGCAACAACACACTCGGGGGCGGGGGGGACGGGCAGGGCATCGGGCCCTCGTGCAGAGACGAGTGGGCGAGGCCACGCCAATACCTCCCCTGCAAACCGACCCTTTCCTTCCGCCCTCCGAAAAGAAAGAAAGGGCCGGGGCCAGGATGGAAACAATGCCCCATCGTTTCCCTGGGTCGCGGACCGCTTCGGAAAACCATCCTGGCTCCGGAGAAAGCGTAGACTGGGGAAGCCACAAGATAGCGGTACCGCTACTCCCTTGACCTCTCCTGGGGTGCGTTCTGACCAGAACTTCGAGGCGAGTTCAGCGGTGGCGACGAGGGCCTCTCACCAGACGGGCAAAACGACGCAGCAGCAACGGTATAGGTACCTGATTCCTCCTCCGAAGACCGTTTGGGGACGCCACCCTGGCTCGGGTGAAGGCTTAGACAGCCTCACCCAACGGCCGAAGGTCTTCTGAGTCTTCTGAGAGGGCCTGCATCCTTGGCCTCGCCCCCTTGGGCGCGCCTTGACATTGAGACACCGGCTGATCTCCCGCCGGGCCCAAACCCGTTCATGACAAGGGATACGTCAACCCCACGCTTCGTAGGACTGTCGAACGGAACCAAAGATTTGGGGCCCAACTCGGGGATATAGGACAGGGGTGCGTCCATCCTCGATAGGGGTGCTTCCGGTTAGCTCCCCTGGGGTGTATCCCTGAGCTTTCATTCTTTAAAATAATGTTTCTGATGATCGGCTAGATGGATTTTTGGTGGAAAGGTCGTGGGGTGGGGGAAAAACGTCGCTTGCGACCATAGTCTGTCCACGACGACTATCCCCCCTGGGGTCCATATTGGCCCGTTTTTCGAGGCGGGTCCAGCCGGCGACCAGAAGCCGTTTCGTTCGCACCAAGCGCAGCCCCAGAGACATCTCTCACAGGTCCGCCGGCGCTGCGACCACATCGCCCCGCAGCTGGAAACAGGAAGCAAAACCCCAAGCGAGGAGGAACGTGGCGACGAGAGGCCTCCAAAGGGGAGCAGACAACTGCGTAAACACATTTTCTCGGAGGTCCGCGCAAAGCCCCCCTGTCCAAGCGCGCGAGGAGGAGGTGGAGGAGGAGGAGGAGAAGGAGGAGGAGGAGGAGGAGGAGGAGAAGGAAAGGGAGGATGAGGAGGGGGGAGAAGGAGGAGGAGGAGGAGGAGGAGGAGGAGGAGGAGGAGGACGCGGAGGACGAGGAGGAACAGGAGGAGGAGGAGGAACAGGAGGAGGAGGAGGAGGGAGAGGAGAAGAGGGAGGGGGGGGAGGATGACGAGGAAGACGAGGAGGAGGAAGAGGAAAAGGAGGAAGGGGGGGACGACGAGAAAGAGACGGGGAAGGAGGAAGAGGAGGAGGAAGAGGAGGGGGAGGACGAGGAGGATGAGGAGGAGGAAGAAGAGAAGGAGGAAGAGGAGGAGGACGACGACAAGGAGGAGGAAGAGAAGGCCCGCCAAAGGAGCCCGGCGCCGACCGCAGGCCCCCCCCCCCACCCCCAGGAACCGCGACGATTTCGAAATGTGTAATTTCCAACGCGTTGGTTCCTTCAAACTGGACCGCGGGGAGGCATCGTGGAACGCCCGCGCGTCATCGTACGGCCGCGCGCCGCCTGACCCTGCCACTGAATCGTGCCAGGCGCGCCGCGGAAACGCGACCCACGCGGCCCCCGAGCCAGGCCGCCACGTGACCGCCATGGAGCAAACCCCGACGTCTGGAGCCGTGCGTCGTACTGGCGGCTATGGTGCCGCCGTCGCCGCCCCGTCGCCGCCTCGTCGCCGCTCCAACCCTGGGGATGCGCGTCGGTCTGGCGGCTATGTTGCCGCCGTCGCCATCCCGTCGCCGCCTCGCAAAGATTGCGCCACATACACTGCAACAAATAGATTCCCCCTTCTAAAAGAGATATAGACTCTACCCCCCCCCCGGCGTTATCACTCCCCCCGCGTCCTGTGTAAATCACATGTGATTATGACCACATGTCCCTCCTAAATATGAAAACTCAATGTCCCAGGCCAAACGGGTTCCCCCCCTGAGGTTCCCTTGCCAAGAAAATACTATGCGGTAACATCTTTTGTTCTAACATAGCACTTTTTCACGAATCCCTTGTAAATAATACCAAAAGGCGCACATGCGCGCGGCCGCCGCGCGCGCATGTCGAAATCCTTCTACAGACAATTTCAACGACTTCAAGATCGGATTTCAATACTTCAGTGTAAGAAATACGACTTTCCCACCCAAAGACTTTGGGAATTCTGCCCGCGCGCTCTTGCAGAATCTTTCAAAAACCAATGGTTGTTCAACATTCCTGTCAAATTGGCCTTCACGGGCCACTTTCGCTCGCACGTCGAATTAACTCAACAACCTCCGCGCGCTTGCCAGACGCGCCATCCCTTGTAAATAATGCCATAAGGCGCACATGCGCGCGGCCTCCGCGCGCGCATGCCGAAATCCCCCCAAACACAGTGTGATTTCAACAAGGACCGACACGCCCTCCCGAGGGCGAATTCGACGTTTCCCTCTCCCCCTCCTAGCTTGCTCGCCCAGCTACCCTGAGCCACCCAGCCCCCGCCGCTGCTGCCACCGCCTTCCCATTCGCCCTCTTCTCCCCGCCGATCTACTTTCACATGTAACGCTGTCCGTGCGCTGGTTGGTAGGTTGATCCGAGTTGGCTGGCTGGCTGGTTGGTTGGACGTGCAGGGCATACGCGCGCGGCCGCCGCGCGCGGGTGTCGAAATCCTTCCGAACAAGTTGTGTGTTCAACACTTTCAAAATCAAGTGCCAGAGGCGCAAACCCTGCCAAACAATACCATGCGGGGCACATGCGCGCGGCCGCGCGCATCGTCGTCGTCGTCGTCGTCGTCGTCGTCGTCGTCGTCGCCGTCGTCGTCGTCATCTTCCCCGTTGTCGTCGTTGTCGTCGTCGTCGTCGTCGTCGTCCCCCTCGTCGTCGTCGTCGTCGTAGCCGTCGTTGTAGTCGTCGTCGCCGTCGTCGTTGTCGTCGATGGGTAATCGCAGTCACGGCTTGAAAAAGTCTTGCGACCAAGTTGCGGGTGGGTGGGTGGGATGTTTGCACGAGCAGTGGAGTGGCCATCAGTTCTCCTTTCAAAAAGAGAATAAACTCTACCCTCCCCGGGCGTTCTCGCCCCCCCCCCGCGTCCTATGTAAAGCACATATGATTCTGACCACATGTCCATCCTAAATATGAGATCGCAATGTCCCAGTCCAACCGGGTCCCCCCCCCCTGAGGTTCCCTGGTAAAAAACGATACGCGGGGACATCTTCTGTTCTAGCATAACACGTTTTCGACGAATCCCTCGTAAAACATAGGACGAAGTGCGCACGCGCGCGTTGTCGCGCGCGCGTGCCGCAATCCTGCAAAAACCTTCGGTGTCGAAAGGATTTCGCAATCGAGTTCCCCAAAAAACATGCAACAACACATTGTTTCGTAACACTGATTTGCATAAAACAAGCTTACGCGCGAGCTCTTGCGAAATCTTCAAAAATCCATTGGTTTTTCGCGATTTTCACAACATGCTGACAAACGGGCTTCGCGCGCGCGCATGTCGAAATCTGTCGAACGCCCTTGCGCGTGTGCCGTCGCAGGAATCCTTTGTAACGAATGGGACGAAGTGCAGATGCGCGCGTCGTCGCGCGCGTATGCCGAAATCCTTCAAAACCCATCGGTTTCGGAAGGATTTCAAACTCGTGTGTCCAAAAAAAACATAGAAAAAACACAAGGTTTCGCAATACGGATTTTCAACAAAAGCGTGCGCGCGCGCTCTTGCGTCGTCGTCGTCGTGGTCGTCGTCGTCGCCGTCCTCCCTCCTCCCGCGTCGTCGTCGTCGTCGCCGACGTCGTCCTCTGTCTTTCCTCGTGTTCGTCGTCGTCGTCGTCCTCTTTGGCGTCGTGGTCGTTTCCGTCGTCGTTGTTGCCGTGGTCGTCGTTTCCTCTTCCTTCGACGTCGTCGTCCGTCGTCGGCGTCTCGTCGTCGACCCTCCTATTTCGTGGCCGTCGTC